CTTAATATTTTCTCTTTTTTTTTTTTCTTGTTTTCTTCACACACAGCACACACACAATACCTCTATTTATAATACTTAAAAGAAGTATCTAGTATGCATTAAATGATTAAACTCTCACCTAACTAATTATATATTAAATATACTAGATAATTTTAGAAGCTTCTATAGGTAGGTGTTGATTTAATTAACACTCCCCTTCAACACCGACATTGTCTCGAGTTATGTTTTCTTCTCGAATCATTTCAAGACATGTTCGGAACACTTCGGATTTTGAAGAATTGAGCCCTTTTGTGAACACATCGGCGACTTGGTCTTCCGTACCAACGTGCTTCATCTCTATCTCTCCTTTGAGCACCTTTTCTCTAACGAAATGATAGTGTACTTCGACATGTTTTGTTCTTGCGTGGTATACGGAGTTTTCTGCTATGCGTATAGCAGATTGATTATCACAATATAGTTGTACCGCATAACTAAATGGCTGATGTAGATCTTTTAATAATTGCATAAGCCATGTGCTTTACTGAGCTGCCATTGCTGCTGCTCGGTACTCGACCTCTGCTATTGATAGGGACACTGTCAGTTGTCTTTTGCTATACCATGATATTGCAGCCGACCCAAACTTGAACACATACCCAATAGTGGACCTTCTCGTATCACCACATCCGGCATAGTCCGCGTCGTAATAGCCAACAATTTCTATATCTTTATTCCTTTGATAGAAAAGTCCATAGTCGATAGATCCTTTTACATACCTTAGTATACGTCGGACTAACTCAAGGAGTGGCTTCTTTGGTTTCTCCATGAATCGACTTGCAATTCCCACTGCATATGAAATGTTTGGCCGTGTTAGGGTTAGGTAGATTAGGCTTCCGACCAGCTGTCTGTAGATAGTTGCATCCTCCAAGTCTTTTCCATCTTGAGCACATATCTTGGCGTTTGCTTCAATTGGAATCGATAAAGTCTTGCAGTCAATCATGCCATATTTCCTCAATAGATCTTTAGCATATTTTGACTCACACAATAAAAGACCGTCGCTTATTTCTTTTAGCTCAAGTCCCAAAAAATGCTTAAGTTCTCCAAGCTCTTTCATTTGGAATCTTACCAATAAATTCTTCCTGGTTTGTTGGATTTCTTCTTCATCGTCTCCAGTGATAATGATATCATCTACATATACTAGCAATATTGCTAGTTTTCTTTCTCGTTTCTTAACAAAGAGGTTCGAGTCTGCTGGTGCAACAGAGTATCCACACTGAATCAAGAATTCAGCGATCTTACCGTACCATGCTCGTGGCGCCTGCTTTAACCCGTATAGGGCCTTCTTTAGTTTTCACACGTAGTCTGGATTCTCCTGATCCTCAAACCCCGCAGGTTGGACCATGTATATTTCTCTGTCGAGCTCTCCATGTAGAAATGCATTCTTCACGTCCATCTGCCATAATTTCTAGGACTTTCTTGCTGCCAGTGCAATAAGTACTCGAACTGTTGTGATTTTTGCAACTGGGCTAAATGTCTCGTCGTAGTCTAGCTCGTACTGTTGTGAGAATCCACGTGCAACAAGCCGAGCTTTATACCTTTTAATTGATATGTCAGGTCGCCTTTTTATTTTATAAACCCATTTACAAGATATGGGTTTAACTCCATCAGGTTTGGGTACTAAGTCTCATGTTTCATTTTACCATAGAGCTATTATCTCCTCATTCATTGTACGTCGAATCTATGTCGACATACCAATAAAATGTCCGGAATAGACTCACTAAATCAGGATAGGCCATGAATATGTGTGTCAGCGCATTTGTATTCGAATCGACATTTGTATTAACTATATACTTGCTGCTGCTAGCCAAATGTAGAAGTTGGGTAGGAACGTCCCTACCCTCAAAACTTTCCTTACGCAACCAGTCTCTATAGTTATATATATGTCGCCGATTAGCATGATCGTGTGGATTTTTTTCCTGGACGGCGGCCAAAATATTTGCTGGTGTCACATGCGCAACAGTCATTTCACGAATAATTTTTTTGGATGACTGGCTTATGCCGCTCGACTGTCGATGGCCCTCAGGATACACAACAAATGAATGATTATGGTATCCCTTCGTTTCGTCTTGACTCGTGTGGATCATCCAGTATGTCGATCTGACAACACGCTTTACTTGTATCTCAAAAGGGCACTGGCACGCTTTCGTTTTTGAATGTCTAGAAACAACTTTATTCATATTTACGTTTTTGCCTCTATAACGTTCGTCTCGATCGCACTTCAAGATCTTCAGCCTTCCGGGTTTTTTGTGTTTCGAAATAGTCAAAAAGAAACCATTCAGAATTGCCGTACTTTTTGCATCCTTAATAGCCTCCACATCACTAATAAACAACGTAGTTGTATTGAAAGCGGAACGGTAATCAACACCATCTCCTCCAAAATCTTCTAAAGACACCTGCAATTTATTTAATAATTTTAAAGCATTTAAAAATAATAAAAAATAATAAAAAAAAATAAAAAATAAAAATAAAAAATAAATGATGTCCGGCCGGTCGGACAGGCCGGACTGGGTTATAACCGGCCGTCGTGGTCGGACACCAAGTGGGTCGTACGGCCGGTCGGTTAGTACAACGACCGGTCCGTACGGCCCACAATACCGCACGCAAATGGTGGTGTCCGGTCGAACTGGCCGGACGCGTGTTAAGCCGTCCGGTCCGGTCGGCCGGACACCACCGGTTGCGTGGCACTTTTCTGGCTGGACAGAAAAAAAAATACCTCTGAGCTGCTGGACATTGTGCAAATGAGAAGGGCAAAATCGTCCAAAAGGGGCGGTGACTAGTAATAAGAGGGCGATAAATAGTAATGCCCTTTACTCATTCGAACCCGTGGATGTCGTGGCAGTGTCGCAGCGCTCCACCACAAATCTCTACACCCGCACACACATAATTACTCCCCCCACCGTATACCGTCACATTCTCCATGGCATCTGTGTGCACATATTCTGCTTTTATACAGTGGCGAAGCGCTGGGGTCGTCTGACACCGACGCTTTGCGTTGAACCACTTGTATGTAACAAAATTTCACCGTGTAAGACCTCATTAAAAAAATAATAAGACCCCGGCAGTAGGGGAATCTATATAAGACACCGTGTAAGACCCCCCGACCCCATCAACCAAAATTTCTGGCTCCGCCCCTGCTTTTATATACCAGCTGATGCTGATGCCTCTTCTTACACTAATAAAATTATTATTATATTATCCATCACCAACACTTATCCTCATTTTCGGATAAAAAAGCATATGTTCATATATAATATAATATAATTAAAATTTCAAGTTAAACAATATATATAGGTGAGAGATAATATCAGCAATTTAGACAGAGATAAAGATAATGTCGTCTTGGGTGGCAGACCATCCTTCGCAAGGCAGCAACAACATGAACAACAACAGCCATGAAGATGGAGATGAGCGGCTCAAAATTCACCGAGCTAGCTGTGATCCGGCGGCCTCCGACCTCTCGCCGCCGGCTGATGCTTTTCTCAGAGCCGCCGTCTCCCTCAAAGATCAGGTCTCTTTTGACACTCTCTCTCTGCACCGACAACTTACTAACGATGTGTTTTCCTTTTTTTTCTTTTGTGCTTTTAAGTCGCTATTAATTTGTGCAAATCCTTGTGCGGTTAGTTGTGATTTTACGTAATAGCTATGGTTTTCAGGTGATTTTTTTCCATTTTTTTGCTTTTTAGTTGGTTAGGTTTTGGATGAACTGACGAGTGAAAGTGATTGTCTGTCAGGTGGTGGAGATGACATGGAGAAAAGAGGGGGAAAATTGGAGCTTGGACCCGACGGTTTATACTGGTTTGATGGGAACAGCTTTGATGTGCTTGCGATCTTATGAGGCAACCGGCAACGGCCGGGACTTGGAGCTGTGCTCCGAAATCGTTGACGCCTGTACCCCGGCTGCTCAAATCTCCAACAGGTAGAGTCATATTAGCAGTTATTAATAATTAATGGAAGCGTATAGTATACATACATGATACATGGGTTCTTATTAGGTGTATCAGTTATCACTCCTTTTCCCCCCTTTTGCTTTCCTAATTTTTCGGTTTAGAAATGAAGTTGGTTGGGTTTTAGGAATATTTTTGTATTGGGTGGTTTGGCTAACGAGGTGGCCGGGATGGGGTCTGTCAGCCTGCGTGCGGCGATGCAATTTTTATAACACAAAAACTTGTGTAAATCATGTTCCATGTGTACTTTCTGGATGAACATGACACCAACACAACAAGGAGGACAGTTTAGAAGCTTATGCATGAGTAGAGATAATGTGTAAATGTGAGTTCTGTGTGTGTGTTTTTGTGGGGGATAGTTTTGCAGTGTTCATGTTTGGGGAAAAACTTTTAAAGCCCTGTTTTGAGAAATGGAGATCATTGGTGCAAAGCTTGCACGGTGTTTCGAATTAAGTGATGTAGAGATTTATTGCTTAATAGAACAAACATGGTAGGCAGGAGTTATTATAAGAAGACCTAAGCTTTCTACTCATGTACCAAGTGATAGGTGTTCTTGTGTTTATTGAGATATTAAGCTCCTAATTCTTGGTCGAGCTGATGGGTACAACACTTAAAGTTACATGTTTAAGATGTAGAAGTAGATATATACTGATACCTCCGTAATAATTCATGTGCATGATACCCTTGTGCTCAAATTCACCTTTGTTTCACTTAGCAGTATAAGAAATAGGATCAAAATACAGAGAGCTAACTCTCGCTTGTCATGTTAACAGAATCAAATGTATCGGCAAAAAAATTGTAGTATTTTGAATATATGAAGGCAATCGAGTTTTCATTTTTGATGTATTCATGCATAGCTCTAAGTCCTGATTCACCCTTCATCTTCTCACCGATATTTATATCTCAATCTGAAATTAAAGAATATGTCCTCATGTATTTGTTTACGTTCATACTTCATAGCGCTAAAATCATATACCATTTTTTTTTTTTTTTTTTTTGTGTGTGTGTCTATCTAAAATGTGTGTGCATAAATAATTGCTAACTTTTCAGTTAATATTTTTTCCTTTATCCTGTTTCTTATTTCTTGTACACCTCAATTATTATCATTTATTGAATCTTGATATTGAATTCTTGATTTGATATTAAATTCAATCAACATCGCTCATAATATTTGAGCATTTGTTATTTTTCTAAATATTGGATATTTTTCTGCAAATAGTCTAATCATGTGGCGACTACAATGTAATGTGTGATGGCACAAAAAGCTAATTTAGAGAAATTACCAGATTTTTGGATGAATGTACTGTCAACTTGGATTGCCTTTGAAATGTCAAGTAGTTCTGGTGGTGTCAAAAAATACCAGAAAAAATTATGAATCCACGTGTCCCTTTTGTAGCTGCTCCTTTTTTCTCCAAAACTTGTTATCCTGTTTTTTTGTAATTTTCTTAAATAGTAGAGACATAGGCTTCTTGTAATCAACATGTGAGGAAAAAAGAATTTATGAAAAAGACAAGAATTCAATCTTGGACGTAAAAATCTATTACCGTATCTTATAGTTCCGGTTAAGAGCAATCTGTCTTATGATTTTTTGTCTCGGGGTCATGAATGAGTTCCTGCAGTACAAAAGTCATCTCTTCACATGAAGATAAATAAGATAATAATGTTCTTCAACTTAATTTAGTGTGTGACAATTCTTTGTCTGCATGAAGTGCCTCCCAAGTTCTTACAAAATGTGCCTAGGAAAAGATCTTGCTATCCACGGCGTTGGAAAAAAAACATTGATACATTTTTTCTTTGCAATAACGACATCCGTCTAACTTGGTGCAGGCATGTCACTTTTCTTTGTGGTAGAGGAGGTGTCTATGCTGTCGGTGCTATAACTTCAAATTACAGTGGGGACCAAAAGAAGCGTGACTACTATTTGGGTCGTTTTCTGGAGGTATCATCATGTTTCTTGTTGATCGTCTCAGTATCTGTATTAAGATATTATTTTAGGTGTACCCGATAGTGGTCCACATATATCTAATTATTGAAAAATGATATTGCCTAGCTCAAACTTTCATTTTAACTAGGACCATGAAGATATCGTGGTCCTTCATCTCTCCGTACTCCTTAGACTCGAGATGCAAGGATGTCACTAATATCCTTCAGTGGTATCATAGGATTTTCATTTTATTTATTTATTTATTTTTTTTTTTTTGGTGTATAATGTTTGTTATAGCATTAGAAGGCACATGAAGACAAATTTTATATTTTCTTTGGATGTTAGAAAACCACAAAGGCTACAGTTACCATATTCTCTTTTTAACTAGGCAATTTTGGGAGTTTTGGTGCAAGTTTAAAGTTTCACTTAACAAGGGCAACACACTTTTTCCTTGAAAAGACACACGCTTTCATAGTGTAATCTCATTTTCTCAAGTGAATTCTAGGTTAGCTGATATTGGTAAATGGTTAAAATAACGCAACTAAACGAACAAGATGAAAGTAAAAAGTTCCCCCATGACGACATCTTTCTTATGGCCTTTTTTCATCCATCAGATGGCACAAGAGAGAGCACTCCCTGTGGGACCAAAAGAAGGCGGATTTGGGATGTCATACGACCTGCTCTATGGACGAGCCGGATTTCTGTGGGCTGCTTTGTTAGTGAACAAATATTTAGGCCCCGAAACAATCCCTAACGAGCTTCTCATGCCAGTTGTCGAGGCAGTCCTGGCGGGAGGCCGAGCTGGCGCCTCTGACAACACGTCGTGCCCATTAATGTACAGATGGCATGGGACTAGATACTGGGGTGCAGCCCATGGGCTAGCCGGTATATTGCACGTGTTGCTTCATTTTCCTTTGTCCGGTGATGATGTTGAGGATGTCAAGGCGACTCTAAGGTACATGATGAGTAATAGGTTTCGACATAGTGGGAACTATCCAGTGAGCGAAGGGAACCCGAGAGATAAGCTGGTCCAGTGGTCCCACGGAGCTGGTGGTATAGCTATTACCCTATGCAAAGCATCAGAGGTTAGTGATTATGTAATATTTTAGTCAGGTTCTTTAATAATAAAAACGGGATATATATTTGTCTTTGTTTTTCTGCAGGTGTTTCCGGATGATAGGGATTTTCGTGATGCAGCCATTGAAGCCGGAGAAGTTGTGTGGAAAAACGGGTTGGTGAAGAAGTTGGGGTTAGGGGACGGTGCAGCTGGCAATGCATACGCGTTCTTGTCTCTACTCCGTCTTACGAGAGACAGCATATATGAAGGGAGAGCAAAGGCATTTGCGACCTACCTATATCACGGTACGTGGAAAATCTTGGCGGCTGAGAAAAATTGTGGTGGAGAAGAGCTTATGATGTATTCCCTTTTTGAAGGGGCAGCCGGGGCTGCCTGTCTCTGGTTCGATTTGCTAACGCCTTTGGAATCTCGATTTCCAGGCTATGAAATCTAGACTGTTGAGGCAAAGCTGGAAGTGTAGTATGGTGATGGGCGATTTGTGTTTGGTGAGACAGCCCAGTTGCTTCGATTTGTATGTATATTATGCTAATGTGAGACTTTGAGATATAAGGAAATTGGATCTGGCTTTGGTTGTGAGCCATCCATTGATATTTCAGAAATGATGTGCTAGTGAAGAAAATGTGGGATAGCACTCACATTTATGATCTTTAGCATAATTATTATTATTTTTTTTTTTTTTTGGTTCCGAAACGTAAATTTTGAGACTTCTAGTGTCTATAGTTCTTGCAAGAGAGAGGAGACACAAAGTTTTGTTCATCATCAAGGCTATATATACTCATGCCACCAACCACAAACAACATAAAGAAAATGTAAGAGCAAATATAAAGATCATGCCAGCCATTTGGTCTGCCAGCCCATTCATAAACCACCTAGTATGCGTCACTTGCCTGCCTACATATCTGCAAAGAAACTGTTTGAACTGCCAATGTTTTGCCCTTTGTTTCCATTTTTTCTCTTGGTCCCTGCCGAGCAAAAACGATCGTTCAAGTTCTTAGTATACGGTATAAGTCAGTATTTGGAATAAGAATACATGAAATACTAAATTGATGCACGATACTGAGATATAGAAGATAATGTGGGTCGTTTGATTTAGGGAACTCAAATTGTCACACGACTTTGCAATATATGCATAGCCTGACCCGGTATGGTCAAAGTCTTGTTATGATCAAAGCCCTAAACATGACCACTAATGACAAAAAATCGAACTTGGTGAGTACTTGGCTCTTCTTTTCTTACCATAAATATTTAAAACAATTCGTAATATCACAAGAAAAACATGCCATTTACAAATAATACTCAAACAAGATACGCCACCTATCGTGCTCGAGCCCAAGTGATGATGATAATGACTTTGCGTAAACTCTAATCAATTATTGTAATTTGAAATTCAACAAGAAATGAGTAAGTGAACTTCCGGAATATACCTTTAGAAGGTTTAGGAATACTATCATCAACGTCCATCCCGTCACCATCACTATCGGAGGCATTAGAATGATTTGACAGAGTACCTCCAGACCCTTGCAGCAAGTCATCCAGATCCCATAGCTATATATGTAGATTTAGAAAAGGCAATATAATTTAACAAAAAAGGCATAATAAAACATAAAATTTACATATATAATGTGTTTAGTAAGAGATAGTGACCTTTAAGGTCTGATCATGCGATATGCTGCCTAGGAACTTTTTATCATAAGAAAAGGCTGCAACACCAGATCATATAGGTGGTATGAGGCAAAGTAAGTGCCGATGGTTATGACATTGTTTAAATTGTAACCCTATGTATGAATTAAAAACATTTCAATCCATCCCTATGGAAAAGAGTGAGTAAAAAGCATACCAAGACGTTCGACGGGATATTCGGAATGCTCAGCAATTGGCTGGATAATTCTGTTGGGCAATATACCGACCAAACTAAAGACAACATATGGATAAATTTTTTATTGTTTCTGTTAGTATGGAAAATTGAGTTTAATCCTAAAGTGGAAGGTAAAGTTAGAGATAGAGGAGCAGTTCTCATTTCTTATGAAAGATTTATACCTGATTATTCCATTCTCAGAACCAGTGATAACTCTATCTTCATCGAGCTTAAGACAAGGAGTAATGAAAATTAAATTTAATTTACAAGAAGATATACAGACAAAGGACTTGCAAATGGTTAAGATTGATCATGCAAATGGAAAGTAATTACGAAAAAAGAGCAGACCTTTAATAAGGCATCCACATAATTAGGAGAGAGATCAACAAAACGATCACTGAAATTTAGAAGGCATAGCATTATGTCCATCATCAAACTTGGTGATGCAGAAGAAAGGAAAAAAAATTATGTGCTGGTATCTTTATTCCATCCCAGAACTAAAATCATTCAGCTGGGGATAATATATTAAAGGAGGTGAAATACCTGCAATCTTTGAAAAATCCCCATGAGTACAACAATAGGGTTCCAGACTGCGTTCCGCATACAACCTTTCTACCATTCTGACCAAAAAAGAAATTAACACACAGTTCATCTATAAATCTGATGCAACTCCATCTTTTCAAGGTCCAGCCTGAACCGAAATAAACAATTGCACATAAATATTGTAACAAGGACAGTGATCTAGTTATGACTGAATATCGAGCAAGAGTATGAAGTAAATATTAAAAAAAAAAAAAAATAGCATCAGACACAAAATGTCAAAAGACGGGATATGGCAAACGCACTAACAAAATTTCAGGCTTCTTTGTTTTCCGCCGAAGTAGAAGAAAAGTAGCCTCTAACACACCCATTTGAATTTAACAATGTAAGCAAAGTAAAGTGAATTCATTTTAAGCTATACGCTAATCCTGATCAAAAGCTATATAAGAATAAAAATATTATTGCACTTTCTAAGGGGAAGTTAAATCCAACCTTCATAATCACCACAGAAAGCAATTCTTCTTCAGAGAACTCGGAACGAGTTTGAACCTGCAACAGATTCAGTTATCTACACTAAGATGCAACAGCATTAATCAGAAAGCAAATTAATGGATCACCGAAATAGAAAGAAATACCTTGTTGCTTCTTAAATTGCAAACTGAGAGAGTACCATCTCCACTGCATCAGAAGATAAAAATAAGAGTTTGGATTAATCGGCACACTAAGGCAGAATGTTTTCAATATACATATTAAAGTGGGAATATTAGGTCCAAATGCTGATTGCTTTTTTCCTCCACAATTGATAAATTTTGACTAATGCAACATTTCCAAAAATATCAGCACACTTCAAAAGGCTATGACACAGACACACAGGTGCAGAATGGGATAAAAACTACCTTGTTCCAATCAATTTCATGGAATCTGAAGCAAATGTCATGTCCGAAATGTATTCTTCATGAACATCAAACGTGTTGCAGCAAGAACGCTGTCTGGTATCCCACACCTGAAATATGAAGTAAAACAAGAAAATGTTCAGATTGCTTAACAAAAAAGCACTGCCTCAGATGAACAAAACAGAAAGTTGTATTCCCACAGATAGGCTGAGAAGAACAAACGGATGTCAATCAACCACTGCCACTTCTTTACCACACCACAGCACAATAGGAAGAAGGAGCTTTATTTGATATCAATACAACTATACAAGTACAAACATCACATTTAGATGATGATGCTTGCAAACTTCAACAGTTTGTTTGTTATAAAATGTAAGAATGCAGTCTAGCTAATTCGTTAATGGACTCAGATGATACAAATGTGACTACAAAAATAATGTAGGGTTTACTATTTAAACCCCATCATCACCGACAAACAAGAATGAGAATGGCTAGTGATCTTACATGCAACTTAAACTTACGATTATCCCTAATCAAGGAGATACCAATAAACTTCCATGCTAAAAGAAAGTTGATAAACGAAACAAAATGCCTATTTAGAAACCGAACCACCATAATTTAACTTTAACAATTAGAGCTAATGTACTTAAATCGCGAACATCACCACTTAACTAATACATGCATCATAAAACTTCACAATCCAAACAAGCTGGCAACTTCGACTAAGGCTTTTTTATCACAAATATAACCTTCCATACATTCAGACTACACAGCACTCACCTTAATACAACCTTCATCATCTCCAGAAGCAATTGTTGACTCTGTCAAATTCACTATCCGATTTACAGCAGCCCTGCAGATCCCACAAAGCAACAATGCGTCTGATCAATAAAAAAAATGACGTGAAAACGTAAACTTTTTTCCTTTCTAATAACAACTCACTCATGGGCATTCTCAAGACGTGCAATTGCTGCACCAGTTTCGACATCGGTGGCAAGAATGGAATAATCTGGAGACCCTGATACTACAGCTGCACAGAAACCCATTTTTCAAATTCGACCGACCAATTAACTAATAACGGTAAAAAGATTCAAATGCACAAAAAACATGCAAGTTACCCCGCCCTTCATTGACAAAACGGAGTGCTCTGCATGATGCAGTGTGAGCATCCACTACCAGTAGCCTAACAATAGGAAACATTTGAATCAAAAAAAAAATATAATGAACAGCATGAAAGCATAAAAATCTCATATTGAGTGCATTGTTAAGTAGTACCTCTGTGGGGTAGATTCAGCGGCATAACTATATCTGGCGGGAAAATAGAGAAGAATCATCAAAAAAATACTCTTGCAACTATAATTTTAAAAAACATTGGAGATAAACTTACAAAAGGAGTTGGCCGGTGATGAGACCAGCAGCAACTAGGTTATTTGATGGATGAAAATCAAGGTCAAATGGAAGTTTTTCCAGATCAATCTCCATTTCGCGCAATACAATTGTTGAAGACAAAGGCTGTTTTCTAAAACCCTATGAGGGATTAGGGAATTACGACTTTGAGCTGGCGGTTCACGATTTCGTTCGGGTTTTCTCAAACAGACATAGACGCGTCAAACGGGCCGACCGGGCGGGACGGGCCGTTCTGCATTGCACTGCAAACGAGTCGAGATGAACATTGGCCTTATCGAGCAGAATTGATTTTTTTTTTTGCTGCTCGAGCTCGACTTAATAAGAAAATAAAATAGCTCGAGCTCGGCTCTAAAATTTTTAAGTGAAATTACCATTAACCATTTGTGTTATACTATTTAAATACATATGTAAGTGGTACTTTAGTAATTTAATATATATAGTGAGTCGCTCGATGAGTTACTCGACAATATAAAATATGGCTCGAACTCGACTCGAATTCGTGCTCGAACCGCTCGATCTCGACTCTAGTTTGGTCAAACTCGAGCTCGAATCGAGTTTTGGCTAGAGCGCTCGCGAGCGACTCTTGAACCACTCGATTCGTTTACAGCCCTAGTTTTGGAGGAGCGGTGAAAATACATTCACTATCTATTCCTCTGTTTTAATGGCCCATCCATAAAAAGTGAGTCTATTGTCTACACCTGAACTTAGGTCATCTCCAACCAAAAAACTCAAACTCAAACCCATTTTGCAGTAACTATCCTATTTTGCAGTAATTCATCTCCAACCGAAAAACTCATTTTCAAACCCAAAAGAATATTCCCAGAATATTCTCTTTTACACCAACTTTTATAACTTTTCAATACTACCCACATATTTTACAACTTTACAAATTAAACCACACTATTTTTTTGTGTATTATTATTGGTAAATTTTTGTATAATTTGTATTAGTAAATATATTTTTATGCTAAATAATTTGTGTAATGTACTTTTTATGTTAACTATTTTGTGTTTTTTATTTATTGATGTATTATAATTTTATTTTGCAATTTTTTAATATTAAAATGATACCATATGAATAAAAAAATTTCTTGTCCAACATTTGTATTTTAACTACATCTTCATTTCAAAAGTGAAGAAGAGACATATACATCTATGTACGATTGAATCAAAACTGTTACTTTTGAAAATATATGATTTAGTGCAGATTTACACTCTAGACCATATATGGTCTAGCGCATATATTCACATTTTAAAAACTGTTACTTTTTTTCATTGTATTAGTGCAAATTAAATGATAGATATAACATTTATTATTTTAAATATTATACTTATGAAATTAATTTTATTATTATTTTACATTATTATTATTATTATTATTATTATTTTAAATAAAATATATAAATAATATTCATTAATATAATTATCATATTATCTAATAAATTAAATAAAGGGACTAAAATGAAATATAAATAAAGAAGATGAAAGAGACCAAAAAAAATAGACTGAAATGAAAAAAAAAAAGTTCAAACGCAAATTTTTGCGTCAGACGCAAAATTGCATCTAAACGAAGAGAGAGAAGAGGAAGATCGCATTTTGCGATCAGATTTGCCGCTCGGTTGGAGGAATTCTCACTGCAAATTTTGGGTTTTCCGTCTCGGTTGGAGACGGTCTTAGGCCCAGCCCATCACTGTGCCCACCATTTATTTATCCTGTAATAAACCATCACTAATACAATACATGTATATTACATGGGTACTTGTTAAAAAATTATTCTTAAATTCTAAAATTAAAGAGAAAACTATATTAAATTTAGTTTATTTTCTTACAAAAAAAAATATATTACTATATATTTTAGAATAATATGTGTTACTTATTACTTCATGTGTTATATTATATTAGTTTTTATAACTTATATCATATGACTACTTGAAATATAAATATATTAGTTGATACATAACTAGTACAGAGCCCGTGCGATGCACGGGGTGTACAATTTTAAGGTTATTTATCCATTCTTATAATTATATAAATGAATAAAAAAATGTACGGGATATATATATATATATTAAGTGACCTGTAATAGGCCAAAACATGAACACGGGTGATGCACGGGGTGCACAATTTTAAGGTCATTTATTAGTGCATACCCCGTGCGATGCACGTGATACATATAATAAATCAATTATATCTATAGGACTTGTACGTCTAGACAAAAAAACAATAGGTTTGGATCATCCATATTTCACATCTTTTAATAAGTGGCATTTATTTAAGCCAAAAAATTAACATGTTAATTAATATATAATTCTGCTAACACGTCATACTAATATTTATTTGATTTTAGAATACTTATTTATTCATTGATATAAGAAAAAATAAAAAATTTATTTATTTTCATTCACCATATAATACTCAATTATTATTTTATTATAAAATTTATAGTCATATAATGTCATTATTACTATTTATAAAAGTTATAGAAGTAGTCTTCTTTATGTAATGAAATTCAAAATAAAATTTTGAGTATAAATATTTACAAAATACACACATGTTTTTTATAATTCAATTTTCTCATAATAATTCTTTTTTTAAAAAAAAAAATGATTTAACAATTGCCAAAAAAATAAATTCCTTACATAATCAAGAGATTTTTTCTAATTTTCATCCTAAGGCTTTATAATTTAGTTAACATACTATGCAATAGAAAAATATTTTACAATAAGTTCATTTTTTAAGCATAAAAAAAAAAGTGATAAAAACACTATCATAGTTGACAATAATATGCAAATAAATAACATGTCGAAATTTTAAAGAATAACTAATACTACATCCTATTTTTAACATAT